GAACGGTCCGCCGCCTCCTCCCCCAACCCATGGCCCACCCACCCATCCTCCCTTTCTAGGGCCCGTTGTCTTCCTCCTCAACGGGTTTTACAGCTAGTGTAAAATATATTACTATAGGACATAAAATTGTAACATTTGATTATATTTGTGAAATGAAAAATTAAACATCTCTGTATTTTAATATAATAATTATAAATATGCCCAAATGTTTGTTCGTTTAATTTATATCCCGCCCTCCCTGCCGAAGCAGGCTCAGGGCGGCTTACATAGAGTTTTATAAACAGATAAAACAGAAAATTAGATAAAAATGTACATATAAATACAAATATAAAACCACTACATTAAGTGCTAGTACATATCATACAGTGATGGTGAGACGTCAGTAGCATAAAGGTACAGTTGGCAGGCATCTCAGTTTGAGTCATATTGGCAAATACAGGCTTTCGATGGTGGTATTAGTGTTGGGGCCAGGGCCTCAGTTGGTTAAGTGTGGCTCACTAATCAAAGGCCTGGTGGAAGAGCCCCATTTTGCAGGCTCTGTGGAACTGTAAGAGGTCCCGGAGGACCCTGGTGTCTTCTGGGAGCTTGTTCCACCAGTACGGAGCTGCCACTGAGAAGGCCCTGGCCCTTGTCGCAGCCAACCTGGCTTCTCTGGGACCTGGAATGGCCAAACATATTTTGGGAGCCTGATCGTAGTGCTCTCTGGGGAACACATGGGGAAAGGCAGTCCCTCAAGTATGTAGGCCCCTGACCATAAAGGGCTTTAAAGGCAACAACCAGCACCTTGCATCGAGTTTGATAGGCTATAGGCAGCCACTGGAGTGCTTTAAGTGCAGGCTGGATGTACTCCCACATGGGAAGACCCAACAACAGCCTAGCCGCCGCATTCACACCAGCTGCAGTTCCCAGATTTGAGACAAGGGCAGCCCCATGTAAAGAGCATTACAGTTATCCAATCTCGAGGTGACCATCGCGTGGATCACTGTTGCCAAGTCATTGCATTTGAGGAAAGGAACCAACTGCTTAGTCAGCCGAAGATGATAAATGCTGACTTTGCAATGGCTACTACCTGGGCCTCCATTGTTAAGGAGGCATCCAAGAGCACTTCCAGACTCCTAACCTCTGGTTCTGGCACCAACGGCGCCCCATCATATGTCAGGAGTGGGATCCCTACCCTCGGACTGCTCCGACTCATGCAGAGGACCTCTGTCTTCGTCGGATTCAATTTCAGTCTGCTCAGTCTAAGCCAGCCAGCCACAGCTTGTAATGCCAGGTCCAGATCTTCCGGGCTAGAGTCAGACTGGCTGCCCAACAACAGACAGAGCTGGGTGTCGTCCGCGTATCGGTAGACATCCCAGCCCATGTTAATGGGTAGAATGACAAGGGCTGTATCCTAATGTACGTAAGGATAGATTAAGGTTTGCTAATTGGGAAAATAGGAAAAATAAATTGAAAATAGAAACCATCAAGAAAATAGAAACCATCAAGGACTGCAGTTGTAAACAAGAGGAAGGTTTTTACCCCTTCGTGTGCAGTAAGCATTGTGACAGATTTGAGTCCAGTTGCACCTTAGAGGAAGCTCCTACCCCGAAAATCTTGTTGGTCTCCACGGTGCTACTGGACTCAAATCTAGCTATTCTACTGCAGACCAACTCAGCTACCCATTGTAATGGAGCATTTTAATTAGTAATAAATGTGGATATTCAGTTAAACTTAATAACATTGCACTTTTAAACAGCTTATCATTCACAGGCTGTAATCTTGTTCATATTTGGGAGTGAGCTGCACTGAACTTAGTGTGACTTGCTTTGAGTAAACATATAAACGATTAGGCTGAAAGTGTCCTTACAGTATTATCATGAGCATAGTTTCACCCTTCTAAGCCCACTGACTTCAGTGGACTTAGAAGGGTATAACTGTGGTCAGGACTGCAGTCTTGACTGCCAGATAGCCCCTCCTAGGGCACTCCCCCTCTTCTCTCTTTCAAGCCTTTCTTCCCTTTTATTGTCAGGCTTCCATCCCTACTTCCTCCTCCTCTTTCTTGTTTCTAGGGGGAGGTGAGTCCCCCTTCCCCATTGTCTCCCAGAGCCATATTTAGTTCCGTACTGTGCCACATTTGGCTCCTGAGCCATAAGTTGCTGACCTCTTGTGAGAGTGAATGACTGACTTGAAGTGTCTCAGTAAGTTTCATGACCACTGAGGGTTATGACTGGAGAGATGTGGTTGCAGGTCTAACACTGTGTCACACTGGAAGTTGTTGATCTTTGATATGTGAGAGTGGAGACAACTCACTCTTCATTCCTGGGTTGGTTATCACAGAATTGCAGATCTGCACTTTGAAAAGCATATGAGAGTGCAGAAGACAGATCAGATTAGGTGGTCATTCTCCAAGTTTCCAAGAATCCAAGTTTCAACCACCATCAGGATACTAAAGGATTATTTAAAATGTAGAATGCTTTCAAGAGCACCCCAATAGGAAGTCAGGGCTAGTGTTCAGGCTCAAGCTATTGTTGCATGGGCTCTGCAACTGAAAACATCTCTAGGATGGAAAGTATTCACCATGTAGGATTTGTACTTTTCTCTTCCTGTAGATACAGAAGAAGTTGAACAAGGCTTTGGATGATGTGGTTTCTTTTTTGCCTTTTCTGAACTCTGGAAAGCCATATGTCCTAACACTGCCTGCCAAAGGCCTGAGTCAACCAGAAGTATTACAGAAGTTGAAGGAGTACAGCTCAGCTGGTACGTCTGAGAGAGTGCTGGTATCATTAACGTGT